TGATTTAATTGTGAATTAAATGTTGTTTTGAATGAGAGATGAGTTTAAAGGGAAACCAGAAGTCAGTTATGATTAGTATTAATGATATTTTGGATGATTTAAGGCATGAAAACAATAGACTTTTAAATGAGTTATTGTTTGCAAACAAATGTCTCAATGAATTGAAAACTCATTTGAATTTCATTTGCAATAAATTGGAGACAATTATTACCGCAGAAGACAAACAACTCTTCAATCATTTGATCCAAACATTGAGTCAATTCACTGACAAGACATCACTCGAAGAGAAGATCTCAAGAAGTAATGAAATTGTTGTCAAACCTGTTGTCGAGAATACAATTGAAATAAAGAGTCCATCAGTTGTGCGAAGAAGTGATGAAACGATTACCACTTCTTCTGAAGAAAAGACAATTAAAATAAATAAAACAATAATTGAGACAAACGTTAGAAGAAGTGGAAGAACTGAACGCAAAGTTTATACAACTGTATTGAAGACACCGAGAGATTTAAATCATGTCCCGAAACCCAAACCTGAGCCCAAAGTGTATGCAATACCTGATCCCGAATCGGATCCCAATTCACTCCTATTATTACGAAGAGATAATTACGACCCGAAGACTCAGCAGTTTATGTGTCCTAACCCTCACTGCCGTAAAGGGTTTATTACTTCGCGTAGGCTTTACAAACACTTCCACGTCTCCCATCACATGAAGCGGACAATTGTTTGTCAAGAATTAAATTGTGATAAACTTTTTCGGACAAAGAATGAACTCAAATGTCATATAAGACAAGTTCACAGCGATTACCGACCCTTTGAGTGCTCGCAAAAGGGCTGCGATTTTAAGTGTAAAACTGCACAACAACTCAATACACATTCAGTTATCCATTCAAACATCCATTCATTCAAATGCAATGAATGCGAGAAAACATTCAAAACTCAATACAGACTTAATATTCATTTGAAGATTCATTTAAATGAAGACACTTTCAGATGTCGTTACGAGGGATGCAATCAGTTCTTCAGGAATTCATTCCAACTCCGGAGACATAAGATAGTGGTCCACAACGCGCACCAAAAAGTATACGCCTGTGAATGGCCCGCATGTGACTATCGGACCAAATGGTGGGAACACTTAAATATGCACAGATGTGTCCATACGGGTGAGCGACCATTTGAGTGCCGGTGGCCGGCGTGTGGTAAACGGTTTCGTTTTCGAAAGGGTCGCACAGATCACGAGCGGATCCATTCAAATACGAAGAACTATGTGTGTCATTGGCCCGGATGTGGCTATCGGTGCGTTCAGAGCACTAATCTTAACAAACATATGAAAGTACATAAAAGTGATTTAGTTATGACTTAACAGATTTTAATTGTATTTTAATGTTATAAATGTCACACAATTTTTATAAATTAAAATACTGTATGTTTTAAATATTAATTAAATAAAACTTTCATACAATAGTTACTAAATTACTAAATATACTGATTTGCAAGTAAGATTAGTTACTTGGTTAGTAGTACTAGATCATATAATTTGTTACTTTTGTATTGTTTTAATGTTAATTCAATTAATACTAACAATTATTTTGATTTGATGTTTGCTTTGATATTTATGATGTTTTGAAATTATTGACTATTTTGCTATAAAATTATTATTCAGTTAAATAATATTTTAAATTCAAACATTTCTCGCGTTAATAACTAATTGGTTTCATATCTTATTATACGTTAAAACTACTAAATCTATCGACAAATCTAAAGAATTGAAGAATGTTTTGATTATATGAATGGTCTATAAGTTTATGGCACACAATGCAAGGGAATAGCACTCAAGAGGTATGCACTCAATACATATGCATTTAAATAATCATAAATAAATACATTTTTCGGTAATTATTGTAACCAAAAGTACGCAAAAGATTCTTTCGATCGATTCGGTGACGATTTGTGCCAATTATTATTGTCATACCATTCAATAGACTTGAAGAGCGCTTCCACTCATGAGTCTGTGTCCAAACAATTCCAGCGATTGATTTACAACGACATCGTTGAGATTATTATTAACGACAAATTTATTGGTAGATATGGAAAAGTGCATCAATTAAATGATAGTAACGAAGAATTGGGTCATAAATTCATTGCATTTCTCCAGAAGAAGTGCCCAAATTTATTACCACAATCGGTATAACTCTCCGCCATCAGGACTGATGGTTCACGTGTTCCGAGCCATCAATCACTTGAGACACAAGTGGCCACTACTGGAGACTATACGTGTGAATGTGTTTCCATTATATGACGAGCACGACATCGATCACCAATTGTTTGCCTATTTATTGCCCACATTTGGACCAATGGTTGCGTGTGTTGTGAGCGGAACCGATCATCTCAACCAATATCTGCACTTATGTCCCAATTTAGTAAAACTGGAGATTTCTGGCATCAATTCTACTCTCTCTTCAGATGGCAATCATTTACCGCTATTTATTGGCCTCAAAGAGTGTCACTTCTTTCGTGTTAACCCTTAACCTGCATCGTGGCAGCATTTTTATGAATGTAGGGTTAAATAATTATTTTAAAATCAACAACAAACACCAGCTAAAAAAAATTTCAGATATGTGTCTAAAGTAAAA